TTTGACCTGCAAAAATCGACGCACGGAGCCCATCTAAAAAAATAGACCAAACTTAAAAAAAAATTCTGACTTTACCCAGAATTTTCCAACCATTTCCAGCAGGAACAATGAGAGGTCGACGGCAACTTGGGCGACGACGTTTATAGTAGGTGAAGCTGCAGTGGTGGCTTGACGAGTTGGTGCCGGTGCTGGCCAACCGTGACAGTGGCGTGGGTCTTCGGCGGCGTTGCTTGAAGCCGCGATGAAACTCTATGCAAACAGCAGCAGCTCTGGTTTGTTAAAGAATAAGGTTTGTTTTCTTAAAAAAAAAAAAAAAAAAAGAAAGGGTGACTTCAATGAACCCATAATTTAAAATTTAGGAAAGGGACAAGGCTAACAAAAAAATAAATAAATAATAACAAAATCAAATTATTTTGACCATGTCATTATGCCCCCTGGAGTGGAGGGTCAAAGTCTCAAGACAATGTAAAATATTGAACTATTTGAATATACATATATATATATATATATATATATTTTTTGCAGCTTGAAGCATTTTCGTAACCGCTCTCCATCAAATTCTGAGGAAAATTGAAACAGAGCTCATTGATTCCATAACCACTCTCCATCAAATTCTGTGAAACACCCAAGGGAAACCCAAAATTATCTGGATACAATGTGCCCATCATATACACAAACAAGACCAGAATCGAAATGGGTTTTTGATTCAAAACAAGAACTTGATTAATTGTTTTGGTATGTAATTGTTAACATACAACTTGGTTTTGGTATGTAATTGTTAATATACAGCTTCATCATCTTCATCAATAACTTGGTATGTAATCAGAACAACTTCATCTCTGTTTTGGTTTTGGTGGGTTGACTGGTTGGTTGATCGGCCGGTCAACCGGTAAGGCAAAATACATTTATTTATTTATTTTTTTTACCTGTTTGAACCTTTGTTGACCGATTTGAACCAACCTATTTGAAAGGAATTCGGTCGACCGGTTGGTCGATCGGCCGGGCAACCGGTTGGTCGACCATGTCTTTCCTCCAACGGTCACAAACAGTGTTTTGGTGAAATCAGTATATTGTCCTCAGTTTGATGAATTGTTTGATGAAATCTCAATCTGATATTGATTTGGTGCAACTGTTAGAGTAGTAAACAGTAACTTTTTCATCAAAATTTAAATTTGATGTCAATTTTAGTGAATCGTTAGAGATGATCTTAGAGAGAGAAGGCACCGCTGTGCAACAAGCAAAAAGAAATGAGCTATTGAAAAAGAAATGCGCTACTAATTAGGGTTGTAGCCTCTTTTTTTTTCTTAAATAAAAAAAAAAAGTGGTGCAATGCTGGAATATTCCCTCAGAATATACTATTTATATATATTCATGTATAGACGAATATGTTGAGTTGCCAAACAGGGGAAGAAAAAGCTTGGTTTGTGGCATAATTTTAAAAAGAGTGTTTGGACGTTGCCTTTTTAATAATAAAAAAAAGGTGAGTGCTTTGGTTTTTTTTTTTTTATTATCTTTGACTTGAAAAAAAGAGTGACCTTCAGATAAAAAAAAAAAAGATTTGGAGTCATGCATCCTGTTAAAAGGGAATAAAAAAAAAGGGTTGACTTTCAAAAAAAAAAAAAAAAAACTTAAAAAAAAAAGTTATTTATTTATTTATTTTAATTTTACTTGTTGACTTTATCTATAAATTACGATAAATTCTCAACTTTATTCTTAGACTTTGTCAAGACCAAATATTCCTGAAAACGTAATGCGAAGCATGACTGACAAAGTGAAATTATGCATGTCTGAGAAAACTAAAATTTCTCATACACGCAAGGGGCAGATGTAAGAGAAGCTAATTTGAGCCCACTAAATTAGTTAGGCCCAATAGTCTAAGGTTGGTGGGCCCGAATTTATCGCAAGTCCAAAATTAGTGGGTCCGGATTTATCGCCATCAAACGGGCTGAATCGCTCTAAGCCTCGAAAGGGTTTAAATCCACGAACTTAGAGATCGCTCTGTTAATGAGTCCCAGAACACTTGCGGGCTCTGAGCTTTTTGGGATCTACGCACCAGAACCATGGGCGTAATGGAGTTCGAACAAAGGACCCGATCCCAAGAACGATGAGTGAAGATAAATTCACTCTTCGGTTAAACTAGCCTATACCCGGGTCGAGGTTGCACGATCTAGGGAGTCCCTGAGACTCAGCAATATTTGCAGCAGGGCGTTCTCTTGAACTACCCCTGACCCTTATGCGGCAGGACGTCCTCTAGGACTACCCCTGACCCTTTGGGATGATTGGGGATCATTGGTTATGTGTGGCTAAGAAAAAGGGTTCACCGAGAGATTGATTTCCTCTTTGGGGTTTTCCTCATCCTCGGAGAGGTCACCTTCTCGGACAAGGTAGTTAGAGAGAATATTCCCTATGTGCCTTGCACATGGGCTCCATCCTACATCATGAGATGCCTATAAATAGCACCCACCCATAGCTTTACAAGGGATGGATTTTAGAGAGAAAACTCTTCGGAAAAAACTAATTTCCTTTCTCCATTATCAACCTTGAGAGTGAAAGTGGGAGATCCATGGGAGAGCCTTGCCATTATCCTCTCTCTAACTACTTTGCCTTCTTCTTCACCCAATCTCTTATCTCCATCATCTCCTTTACTCTTGTGTTCCTAAGTTGAGACTATTGAAGAATCTAAGCATCTCATCATCTTTTAGAAACTTCGAAATTGTTCTTCAAGAATCTTTGAAAATTTTCGAATTTTTCAACGACATTTTTAAAATTTCTCATACAGAAACCTTCAAGTATCTTTTGATTAACTAGTTAGATTTCTCTTTCATTTTGTGGCACATTTATAGAAAGTCTCCACAATGAAATTTTATGAAGACTTTTTTCGTGGCTGTGCTTATCGTATTTGAGTTTATGCTTAGTTGTTGAGCCGAGGATAATAAGGAAATGACATGCTTAGGACTGGCTTGACAACAAGTTTTTTTTAGCTTTTTTATTTTTTCAGGATAATGTAGTTGCTAAAAAAGTTTTTATTGGCCCTAAAATTGATACCCAATGAACTATTGGATGTATTGCTGCTACTATGTCAGGTAGGTCACCGACAGGTTGATAAAATGTCCCGGCACGTGGCAGAGAGTAAGCTGTGCATTTCTTGTCCTCAGATTCCAGTTTAGAGTGTAAATGCAATGTAGAAGGAAAATAATGAAAAAGAAAAGCATGATAGTAATGTATACATGTTATCAAGAAAGTGGATTCAAATGAGCCACAAAATGCCTATTGCTTGATCCTATTTTACTTGAATCAGCCAAGTTTTCTTGGTTTTGCTTAATTTCAAAAGAGCAATATGCTAGAGTTCCTAAAAAATTAATCAAATATTCTAAATAGTATTAACATGACTTGGGTTTCAAATATCAGCTACTTTGGAGTGAAAATCCTACCAATTTTTTTCCCAAAACTATAATTTGGTATTCTGGCTCTCTCCATCTTTCTTAAAATTGGATTTACAAAAATGGCTTTTCACTAAATTTCATCCATCTCTTCAGTACTATTTACAGCTTTTGTTGAAAAAATAGTATTTTGACACTACTCGTATGCAATTGAAAAAAAGGTAAATTATAAATATACTCATTAAGATTTTCTTAAAATAGGAATTGCCCTTGTGATTTGGAAAATTATAAATTTCTCCCTGTCAGATTTTTTTATTTAACAGAATTAATTTAAAAAGTGAAATTTCTAACTGTTCACCTATATAATAATAAAATTATCTGAATTATTATGTGAAATAAAATTTTAATGTTATTAAAAACTGTCAATTAACTTGATGATTTATTAATAAAAGGACATATTTATTATGAAATTAAAAACCTTAGGGGACATAATGTAATTTCTAGAATCATATGAGTAATTTATAATTTTAATAAATTTTAAGGAGTGTATTTATAATTTACCCAGAAAAAATTATGAATTACGCTACAAAGGCTGTTTGTATAGCATGGTAGTTTACCATATCATAAGTTATAATTGCATTAGTTAAATGAATTTCATTATTTATTGTTATTATTATAGTAATGATTGTATATGATGTGGTAAATTAAATGTGATATACAAATATGGTTGTAAGATAATTTTAAATTATCATATTGATTTCGACAAATAAAGGACTCATTTAAGAAGCTGGTTAAAAGTTAATTTTTGATTTTGAACTTATTTTGAATCACATTACTTCTTACATTTTTTATACACAATCAGATAAAAAAATCAAAAAAATTAAAAAACCAACTTTTAAACAACTTCTCAAAACACCCCCAAAATATTACAAACTAAAAGGCCATCATTTATATTTCAACTACCTAATAAAAATATGAGTTCAGTTGAATTTGAATGTAACTTGAGGGACTCGTAAGACTCATCACCAGTTCTATTTTAATAGACCATTCGTGTATATCATCAAGTTCAATTGAATTTGAATGTAAGAAAACTTAAGAAATTCATTAGATTTAACACTAATCTAATTTTAATGATCTATATGATAAGATCATTTGTGCAGTAATAATTTTCATTTTATCATATTTATTTATGAAATAGATATCATATCAATTTAAATCTTTTCCTTCATGAATTACATACATTAAAAGTTATTTACAAAATAAACGATTTAAATGATCAAAATAAAACTGGTATCAATTCTCACCAATTCCTTAAATTTTTTCAAATTGGGATTTTTTTTTTTTTTGGACTTGCATAAAACAACAATGCTAGGTAACTTAAAATTTTGTGGCTCAAATCACTCAAAACGACATTATTTTTTAACAAATTTAAACTATTTAAACCACAAATTTTTAAACAACCAAACATTTTCTGCATAAAAATTTCATCATATCTACCCAAGTACCAGTAATTAATTCCAGATTCGCTCTCTTCGGACAAAACAAGTGTTTTAAATAAAAATTAAACAAAATACAAAATCATATGTAAAAAAAAAAAAAAAAAAAAAGAAAAAGAAAAAAAAAAGTCACAAACGCAAACACACACCAACACAACACACATATCTCTATCTCTCTCCGAACGCGTGGGGTTTGGAGAGCGCTCTCTGCCTCCTTAATGACATTCCGTGTCTTCCGGCGACCATGCCCGCCTCCTCAGCGCCGCCGGCTCACCGCCCTGAAGACCTAATCGCCTTCCTGAGCTCCGCCGCAGACGACTCCAAGCTCAAAGCCCTAAGGGACCTCAAGAATCAGATCATCGGCAATCGCACCAAGAAGCTCTCCTTCATCAAGCTCGGCGCCGTCCCCATCGTCGTTTCCATTCTCTCCTCCTCCGCCGATGAGGCCGCCGTCGACCCCTCCACTTCTCTCCTCGTTCAGTCCGCTGCCGCCATTGGAAGCTTCGCCTGCGGCCTTGATGCCGGCGTCAAGGCCGTTCTCGACGCCGGAGCTTTTCCTCACCTCTTCAGTCTTCTCTCCCATCCCAATGATAAGGTAATTTTTGGTTATTTGACGTGCTTATGCCGAGAAAATGTGAAAGAAAGAAAAAAAAAAGGGGGGAAATTTGTTGGTCTCTAAAAGATTAATCAACTCAGCCGGTCATATTAGGGCACGAATTCTCTTTTCCCTAATTTTCAGTTAAGCTAATGAAATCATGATTTACCTATTATTCCATTATTCAAGCAAATAGTTCACCCCTTTCACAATTTATTGTATTAATTTGATTTGTTTTGGGGGTGTTTGGGTTTCAATGTTCATTTATTATTATTATTATTATTTTATAAATAAAATCACTGGCTTGGTTATCAAGAGGTTTATAGCTCGTAATACACAGTAGAGTTCAAGGGCATTGTAACAGCATGTGTGTTGTCAATTTTAGTGGACAATAGACAAATTTAGAAGTGGAGGCTAATGGAAGAATGGACAAACATTAGGGATACGTGACACTGAATTTGATTATTATTTGATGAGGAATACATGCAAATTGCTTTGTAATGATTTAAGTGTGTTTATATATTAAAATTAACCATTTGAGTGTTTAAAATGAGCTTGAGATAGATGAATGACAAGGAAACGTCAAAGTGGACAATCGAGGAGAAACTTGGAGTAGTAGTTGAGTAACTACCGTAGGTCCGTAGTGATGTGATGACAGAGAACCATATACATTATTTGGTTACTATTCTTCTTTCCTCTTTCACATGGTTGTTGTTTAAATGAATAAAGAAAAAGTGATATGCAAGAAATTTTACAAAGAAGACCTAAAAATGCTTTGGTGCTGAAATGTGGGCTGTTCTAGGGCTCTTAACAGTATACCAAGAACAATACTTTTCCTATTTGGTGTAGGGTTTGGTTGTTAGAGTTAAGTCTTGATGTAGGGATTGATTGGGCTGGATAAGGGATGATCTTAGGGCTGAAAACAGTAGCTTTAAAAGTCTGGAAGATTAAGCAAATCCCTCACAAAAGACAATCACAAAATTTCCAAAACTCGACTCCTATTGAGTAGAAAGATTATATGTATATTTGTAAGTTATGATTTCATAATTAGGAAGGAAAAAAAAAACAAAAAAAACAATTAACTAGAATATTCAAGGCATAATAAAGACTCCATAGAAGACCTAACAACATAATTTTGACCTATAAGAAGACCCATAGGTGATCTCAACAATCAAAGTCCAACAATTTACATAATTACGAAAATTCCACTAACTACGAAAACAAAATAGAAAGTTATTAAATCTGTCCAGCAACATTCTAATGTATAAAATACATAAAAAAAGATTCAAACTAACCCTAAACATGATTGATTAAATAAAGCACTGGATGTACTCCATGTGAAATTTCATATTTGCCCTTCTCTTCTTTTCAGGCTCATCATCATTTTTCTTGTTCCTTTTTAGGAATGCCATTTGAATTTTGTGTCTATTCTGCAGGTTGTGGACGCTGGCGCTCGTTCCCTTAAAATGATTTATCATTCGAAACTGGCTCCGAAGTATGATTTTCTTCAAGAGAAAAACATGGAATTTCTTCTTTCACTGTTGAATAGTGAAAATGAAAATGTTACTGGACTTGGTGCAAGTATCATAGCACATTCTTGTGAGACAAGTATTGAGCAGAGCACATTGACCGATGCTGGGGTCTTAAAGAAGCTTGTTAGTCTTCTCGGAGGTTCTTTATGCCAGATACATGGTAGCTTGGAGTCTTTAGCCACAATTATCAAGGGAAATCCTGAAGTCATCTCGAAGCATTTGGGACCTGAAAGTGGAAGGGGATTGAGTGCTGTAACTGAGTTAACAAAGGATAGGTATCCCAGGACAAGATTACTAGCATGCATGTGCTTGATTGCTATAAACAACACTTCTCCTTGCTATCTGCAAGTTGTAGGAACAAAAACCAAATTAATGTTCATATTACTTGAGCTTCTTGATGGTCCTGGTGAAGTTGGAGATGAAGCTGCTTTTGCTTTGTCTAGTTTAATTTCAGAAAAGGAGGACCTACAAAAGTTAGCATTTGAAGCAAATGTTGTTGATAAACTTTGCAACCACTTGCAGAAAGGTTCATTACAAGCCAAGCGTATTCAAGGAATATTGTTGGCATTGGCTGATCTGTGTTCGCAGTTGGAAAGCTGCAGGTCTAGGTTCCTATCATTGCAGGTCTGTTGTTTTATGGAATGTGTAAACTTGCCCATGGTATTATTCATTTGCAGTAGTTTTAATTATTACATATTGTTGTTGTTGTTAGTTAGTTAGTTTATGTTTATTATTATTATTATACTTTTTCTGGTTAAGCTTTATGTGAGTTGATGAAAGTTTTTTCCATAAGATTAAGTGTGGTTTTGGGTGATACTTGTTGTCTCAGGGGGCTTTTGTAGGACGTCGTCAAAATGTTGGATGTTACTTTGGTAGCAAATGAAGTAGTGGAGGATTATATTGGTTCTAATAGAAAGGATTTATTTTTAAGGCAGATTCTGAAAAGACAAAAGAAAGGACCATGTCGAATGGGATTTTTTGGATTTTGTGTTATTTAAAAAAGGTTTTAGAGAGCGGTAGCAAATGGATTAAGGGTGTTTGTCTTCATGTAACTTTTCAGTTGTCAAATGGGAAATTGGGTGATACTTTTAAGGCATCTAGAGGCCTTAGACTGGGTGATTTATCATCCCCTTTTTGTTTACTTCAGTAGTTGATGTGCTAGGCAGGTTAGGAGATTGGGTGGGTTGAGGGTTTTGAGAAAGGTTGGGAAAGGGATTCTATGTTGCATTTAAGAATCATAGATGATTCCATGTTTTTTTCTTTCTATTCAGTGAAAAGAGTAATATGGTTAATTTGCTTTATGTTTTGCAGATTTTTGAAGTGGTTTCAAGGTAAGATGAATTTTCGTAAATAGTTCATTCGTTGGTATTAACATTCTACTAGGTAGATTAAGTTGGGTGGCAAGTCAGTTGGGGTGTGCCATTGAGTCTTTGCCATTTAGTCCTAGATCAGAAAGTTTTTTGGCCTTAGCGATTGAGAGGATTGGTAAGAGGTTGTAAGGTTGGAAAACGACTATGCTATCTAAAGGGGGTATAGATTTACTTAGTTCAGTTTGTTTTAGCTAGTGTCCTAGATTACTATCTTTCTTTGTTTAGAATTCTGGTTGGAGTGGCGAATAAAATTGAGAATTTGTGGGAGGGAAGTGGTGAAGGGAGAAAAGATCATTTGGTTACTTGGGAGCTCGTCTTCTTTCCTAGGAATAAAGGGGTGCTAGGGATAAATCAAGAGCTCTATGGAGTTGTGCAATTTGTGCAGTGTTGTTGTGGGTGTTATGGCTTGAAAGGACCTCAAGAATCTTTAAAGATAAATAAGAGGACGTGGTGGGTTTATGGTATAGGGTGTGTTAAATCAGATCGACGATCACTTTTTGAGGATGATTGGATGAATTCCGCGGGGTTGTGTTTGAGATCTTTTGCGTCATATATGCATCAGTTATGCCTGTTTGTTTTGATCTATGGTCTTAATTACACAACAATTATATAGATGTTGGTAACCAGATTAGATGGAATATGTAAATCTCAAGCATAAGGAGAACATGTTAAAGGCTGATCAAGATGTATTAGGACCCCTAATTGGTGGGAATAAGCTTTTAGGTTGCGTTTTGTAAATATGATTTGATAGTATGAGTTGTATTTTGAGTTTGTGAGTTTTGGAATTATGATTTGAGTGTGGAAAGTTTGTTTGGTGAAAGAGTTTTGAAAATAGTTTTGAATTGAGTGGGAAATTTTTGATGTGACATATGATATTTAATATAAAAACTTATAACTCATAACTAAACATACAACTCAAAATTTTATTAAAGCACATAAAAAAAATTTAAAAATTCGGAAATTTTTTTTTTTCGAATATATAAAAATTAACATATGTCAATTGCAAAAAAAAAAAAAATTGCGCCGTTCTGGTCAATCGGCCGGACGACCGGTGAGACGTCTAGTGGGATATCTGGTGGGACGACCGGTTAGGCCAAATTTAAAATAAAAAAATATTTGAAAATCGCGCCTCAGACAGAGTTTTGTGCAGAGTTTTGTAAATATTGTGGAAATGTGATTTGAGTGTGGTATCCAAACATCATGTTGGAATGTGGGGGTAGAAATATAGTTTGGAAATCATTCCGAACAGAGCCTTAGTATTTTATTGGAGTTTTGTGTACAGTAAAGATCTTTTTGTCAGTATTTTATGGGGATTCATATTGACTTTTTTGGAAAGTAATATAAGAAGTATTGGAAGCCAAGAAGCATGCTTGTAGTCTAAATCTAACATCAAAGCTACTCAACATGAGTATAAAACTGCAAAAAGCTACAACTGGAGGTGCTAAATGGTTTGACTGCATGGGCGGTTTCTTGTATCCATTAGTGCTAAAGAACTTGGTTAGGAACACATATTTTTAATATTTAACATTGTTGCTCTTGGATTTCATTCTTCTATCTCTGAACTTTTGTATATTTATTTTTTTGCTAACAAGAAAGGTTTTGTTGGGTCCATTTATGCAGTTGCTTACTTCCTATATAAGCAGTATCACTTTCCTTCTTCTTCTTTTTTTTCTTTTCCTTTTCCTATTGTGTATGTCAATATGTCTATTCATACCAAAATATATATATATATATAAAAAAATGCATGAACACAAAGTGAGATGCAATCTTTGACTTGAAAATCTCTCCCTCTCTGTGACTATAATAAAATAATGTATTTCAATGCTATGAAATAAATAATCCAATGTAATGATTTAATTGTTTGTATTTGAAATCTAAAATAATGATACTACCACAATTAAAGGCTTTCAAACTTACATCTCACGTCTTCACAAATATTTATATTTAATTGAACAGTGGCATACTCGTTTATGGGGCTAGTGGTTCAAACTGGGGCTATTAATCTTGAGGTTGTGTTCAATTTTAATGGTAGCCACTTTGTGCAAATAATGCCAATGGTTAGGTCTGTACTTAGTCTACCGCTATTAGACCCCTATCCAATGGGTACTAAATTGGGTGTACTAAATTCAGTGTTCAAAAAAACTTCTTTACTTCAAAAAATATATATAATTTGAACACACGTGTGCAAATAGATATGTGCTATCCCTTTCATTTGTTTTCTCAGCCTTCTATTATTGGGTTGAGTTGTCAATTTTCACACTTGATTGGGAGAATTGATTAGAACTATCAACCCTCAGTTAACTGAGCTGGCATGGATGATGGGGCAGCTTTCCAAGAGGTACAAACTTGAAGATCTTCTCCTCTTTAATAGGTCACCTGGAATGGGGCATTTTTTTCCTAAATATAGGAGAATGCATTAAGTAGGAGCCACCAGAAATGGTTTGCAAGACATGAATGCCTGATACAGGGATTCTAATTATGTTTTATGTTATTATATTTTCATTGCTATGAAACTTTAACTAAATTGGTCAAAAATATCTAGTTGCCTCTTTAATAGCTCACCTGGAATGGAGCATTTCTTTCCTAAATGTAAGAGAATGCATTAAGTAGGAGCCACCATGAATAGTTTACAACACATAAATGCCTGATTGAGGGATTCTAACTATGTTTTATGTTATTATATTCTCAGTGCTATGAAACTTTAAGTAAAAAATGTTGGACAATCTTCACTGTATTTAAAAAGATTAAATTCTGTTGTGTACAAAACAACAACAAGAATATATAGAAATAAAGAAAATGAGAGAATTTGTTTGATTACAAAAATCAAACTCGAAATAATAAATAAATAAATAAATAACAGATTTTATTTTGTTACAAAAACAAAATTTAAATCTGATTTTAATAAATAAAAACAACACTGAAAATAAATTAAATAACTTACTTGATTTAATTTCTTCGAATTATTTTCTGATCAAGTCCAGTGTTTAACACTGTGTCCTTAAGACAGATTCGTCCTCTCTACGGTGCTTTCAGAATTTGGACGTCTATCTCCCAGGATGAAATGATCTTCCACAAACAATAGCAGCACTACTAATTGTTTGCCTTACGAACACACTAAGTGTTTACACTCTTTCTTTCAGAAATAAAATGCAACAAAATGAAGAATAGAATAAGCAGAGGTGAAATACGAAATTTCTGAATCAAAAACATCAAATGAGGGTGGTCCTATTTATAGATGTAAAGGTGGCTCTTGGTTTTAAATTGAACAGGTATGATACCTGTTGGTTTTGAATTCAAACAGATTTGAATCTGTTAATAATTCAAACAGATAGCAAAAAATGGGAAGGGCCCTGTTTGGGTGTGCACTAATTCCAAACTAATTTATTTCTGTTTGAAAACGGGAAGGGCCCTGTTTGGATGTACAGAAAATCTAAATCAGTTTAATTTAAATTCTGGATTTTATTTTACCAAAAATAAAATTAAATTCAAATATTTTTGACCCAAAAAGATTAATATCGGGCCGAACTGCCCAACCCAACCACACACCATGCACCCGCGCCCAAGTCCAGCCCAGCCCGCCCAACCGGACGGACGGCGGCGGAGGCACGCGCGTGTGGTGATTTTTGGGTCCAATAGGTCTAGCCCATTTTGCCCATAACCTCTCCCTCTAAAACACTTGGGTACCCCTTGGGGCACACCCCAAGTATCTCACCCAAGCCTTATAAACCCTTTCAAAACTTCCCACCAAATCAATGTGGGACAAGCCATTTTACAACCTTAAGGAATTTCCACCAAAACTCCATTTCCATGGAGCACACTTTGGCTTCAATTTCCCATTCACTCGGTAATGGTTTTGAGCAACCAAATATATCACGCGAATCACAACGCGGCATAGAACGCGTTATCACTTTGACCCGTGTAAATCGATGCACGGGGCCCACCTAAAAAAATAGACTAAACTTGAGAAAAAATTCTGGTTTTACGCAGATTTTTCCTACCATTTCTAACAATAAATTCCATAGCAGAAAGGCAGGTGCTGTTTTTTCCAATTAATTAAGCAATTTAATCAAAGTAGTGTTATTTGCAGTTTTAGAATAGTTACTTGCACTAATGATTTGCTTGACATTAAAGTTTGATAATAATTACTTGCATGAATATTCTCAGTGCTGTTGTGTAGCTAGATTTGTTGTAGTTGCCATCTTGTAAATGCAGCAAAGCAAACACTAATAATAATTATGTAATCTAATCAAATAAGTTGTGGTTTGTATTTGAAAATTAACTTATGCATGAATTTTTTACTAGCAACTGCTATTTCTGAATGTAGGTCTTGAACTTGGTAACTGATGCGCTATCTCATGATAGTGCCGTTGTACGTGCTGCGGCTTGCATTTGTTTAAAAAGTGTCTCTCGATCTGTCAAGGTTTGCAAAGCACCTAAATGATGATATTCTTCATCTGATTTTTACAAACCACTATATTGACTAACAGAATGTCATTCAGAATCTGAGTGCAGGTAATTTTATGAATGAAGTCATTGTCATTCCCATGGTTCAGCTACTTCATGATTCTTCTACTTCTGTCCAGGTCTGCTTTTTTTATCTTTGCTGATGCTAATTTTCCCTAGATAACAATCATTATCATCTCATTGATTGGAATTACTTCAAGGAACTTATTGTTCTTCCTAGTCTTTTTGCCTGTAAAAATTATTTGGCAACCTTCCATTTTTCATGAAATATGGATTAGAAGTTTTATAAGTGAAAGAATGTTCTGGTGAACACACCAATTTCTTAAGACATTGACCCCACCTTGATTCCAAAGTGTATCTATTCTTTAATTTCACCTTGTCTCCATGCTGCAGTAACAAATTTTGGATATTCGATGCCACATGTGATTGTTGCTCCTTGGCACTGTATTGTTCTGAAATAAAAGCAAAAACAAAAACATCTTAAAATACATCTGGTAGAAAGCCCACAAAATTCACTTGTGCGTGATGGTCAGGCTATGCGGAAAAAATTAATTCCCTTTGCCTTGTCAAAACAGCTTGTCTGATTGAGCCCATCATGAGATTGGTCCACCACTCAGATAAAGCCCAGGACTGATGCCAGCCTGCCAAACATGCTTGTCTCCAAACAATGTTTTTTACAATAAGAGAACAAACTCAGTGAAATTACACATAACTGATAGTTTTATTTCCTTCTGTATTTAATGTCATTTATTTTCACCAATTATGCAACATACTTGAAGAAAATTTGCATGCAACATTATGCAGTAAGTAACTGTTCACTAACAATGCTCCAGCCTTTGTTAGTTAAGATCATATAATAGTTCTTCCTTTGATCCTTTTTTTACAGGTCGCTGCTCTTGGGGCACTTAGCAACATCGTGGTTGATTTTACAACACATAAGTCAGTATTCATACAACATGGAGGAGTGAAACAGCTTGTTGAGCTGTCAAAATCGATGGACTCAGCTATTAGGGTAAATGCAGTGTGGGCTTTGAGGAACTTGCTGTTCTTGACAGACAACCGGTGTAAAGAAGGGATTTTCTTAGAACTCACGGCAACGACACTAACAAGCCTAATTAATGGTTATTATTGAGTTCATTGTTTGTAATGATCAAAGAAATTATTAGTATAGTGGAAATTACTTTTTAACCTTAACATTACAAATTCTTGATTGCATTTTCATTGCAGACCCTGAGCCTTCTGTCCAAGAACAAGCTTTGGCTCTTGTTCGCAATCTTGTGGATGGATCTATTGAACCCATGCAGTATGTTTTTGTGGAGGATGGCCTTATATTACATGCGGTTGGAAGACAATTGCAGACTGCCTTGAAACCTGAGGTTTTAATTCAGGTTAGAATATATATATATATATATATATATGTATTTTTAGAAGAGGGGGGTGGGGGTGTGTGTGTGCGCGCGCGCTAGATTTAGTTACTTGACGAGTCTTGCGGTGCATGGTTATTAACAACTGAAACAAGTGACATGTCATGGTCCAATTGCTGAATAAGTTGTCAGAAACTTGATAAAGGAACTAGCAAGAACTTACAAATTACAATAGATAATTAGCATGTCTTCTAAAATTACAACTAGCGGATCAAGTCTGTTGGAGGTTTAGCTACTTATCTGCATTTAAATCCCTACTTTTAGCATGAATAGTCTTCATGACTTTTTTAATAGTTTTAGCCTAAAAGCCAAAAAGATACTAAAAAAATCAAAAAGCCTATAACCTATATCAAAAAATCAAAAATTCCCTTTTCTCTCTACTATTTGCGCATCTTTTTGTAAAATATCAAAAAGTCATTCCAAATATACAAGTTTTTTTTACTTCATATTTTAGTCAAAAAGCCAAAAAGTTCCTAAAATGGCCTGTTCCGAAACGTGGCTTAAGTTTGAATGGTCTTCAGGACTCACCTTCTATGAAAACTTAAAAAGGAGGTTACTGCGGTAGCGGTGGGGGTGGTAGTGGCAGTGGCAGTGGCAGTGGCATAGTGGTGGTGGTGGCGGCGGTAGTGATAGTAGCATGGTCGTGGTGGTAGCGATAGTAGTAGTAGTAAATGATGATGGTGTTTAATATAGCTTTGCTTTTGACTAATTTATAAATATTAGTTGTAATAAAATTGTCATTTGTTGCCTAACTATAATAATCTCTGAAAAAACTCCTTCCATCCCAAAATGAGTAACATGTTTGAAAAAGTACAAAATTTAAGAATACAATAATAATGTAAGTCACTTAGCCTTTTTATTTTTAGGGCATTACTCTTGAAAATTGTTCTTAACAAAGTTGAGAAATAGTAATTGCTTTGTGTTTATGGCATTTGTGATACATGTTTAACATATGATACAGGAAAGTACTTATAGAGAGGGAACAAAAAGATAGGAACATACAAGAATAATTGCTTCAACTTTTCCATTGCGTACATCCATTTGGAACAACAAAATGGAAAGTGGCAATTTTATTTGGAGTTTATTTTTAGTGGATAAAATAATGAATTTTCATGTAAATGTTTTGGTTGGGACTATGCTACATAGCCTCTTCTGAAACTGTAAAATCCCATGGTGGGACTCACAACACTAGTATGGGATATTTCCTGGCCCCAGCAAGCAGGTGAGGCAAGTGGCAATTCCACTTCATATAAAGAAATATGAATGTTTAGTTGTGTTGCAGACTGACATGGGAATTAATCGAGTATAATGCTTAGGTACATGCCAACACCTAGCACACGTAGCTTAGTCCTGTAACATTGGGATATGACCATAACTAGTATAAATCACCTAAAATAATTTCCAAACAAGAGTCTGGCAGTGCTATATCCATAATGATGTGTGAACTGTAATTGAATGCAATAAAGATGAGTACAGAAGCAAAAAAAAAATGTTGTACTGTTAGCCTTTATAATTGAAACCTTATTATGATAATTGCTAGAATTTGGAGCACGTTCCATCAAGGTTATTCTTTGTATATTTAATTATGCGATTGTTTTGCTTTTGATAGATCTTGAAACCTTTCTGATATAGGGTATGTACGTGCTCAGTAATGTGGCATCTGGGAATGAATTCCACAAGGAAGCAGTCATGGACCAACTTTTCCCACAAATAGGTGACAACATCCAATCAATTATGATCAAGCTTTTGCAGAGTAATGACAGCAGGTTACGCACAGCTTGTGTCTGGACTGTCGTAAATCTCACCTTTCCGAGTAGTCCCGGTGCACACAGTCGGGTTGCAAAATTACAGAATGCCTGCATAACTTCTCAATTAAAGAATATGGTCAATGATCCTTGCCTCGATGTAAAGGTGGTGATTTTTACTTATCATATTTGAAACGGTTTTTTACTTCTTCAACTCATTAGCTGAAATTATATGATTCTTTTCAGCTTCGTGTAAGAACAGCACTTGGGCAATGTATGACTTTTGGTGATGGTTGGACATGATTATTATCTTTTGTCATTCATTGAACTTGGAGCCAATACAAAGAGATTTTGATGCTAGTTGGTGCTTGGGCTTTTCCTCAATTTGTAAGACATCAGTAGCGCTTCCACTGGTGGCCTCAACAACACGGTATGCATTAGTCAAGGTTTATTTTATGATTTTTTTAAGGTCATATCAATTGGGGCATTTACTTGTGTATCATTATAACGATCAAAATGAAATTTTGTTTTATTGCTCGTTAAAAAATAAATAATATGGTTATATCTTATCCTTCGTTGAACATAATCGACCTGATGTGCTAGGGCTCCCTGCCCCTCTTTGATAATATGACGTTGAAATGTGCACGAATATTAATATCAACTTTCACAAGCATTTGTCTTGGTGTGGATTTAATTTAATCTTAATTTTGTGAATAAATATAGCAATCAATTTTTTTTATCCCATCGCATTTAGATTCCCTCTTGAAATAGCCTAGTAAAATAGCAACTTCCCAAACATTGCCATTGTGAATGAAATCTCTGCTTCTACCTTTTTCTTTTGCAGGCGTAACGCGTTGCTCTCACTATTTTCCATTCAAAGCAGTGGGGAGCTTGCTCTCGCTTGTCTTGTGAGTACCACCATCGAGCAAGTTTACATTTAAGAAGCTAATCCCCACGGTGCAACCCGCATCTCATTTCTAAAAATGATTTTGTTTTTTTGTATCATGTTAATCTGTTTTCTTTGTACATCTTTTTGAGGTTACTATGTAGGGTAAATTATGTGATTTGTAAATTTATGTACTAAAATAATTGCAACATTGTCAAGATGTCATCTGATGCAATTTGATCGGTATGGATGGTGGATGCTGAGGCTAGTGGCACATTGGCATATATGTGAGATAGATGGCCTTAATCTGATTTCAGTTCTAAGAAAGGATAATATGCTAAGTGGTTCTGTAACTTTTGTTGCATATTCATAATCTGTGCTCTTCAATCCAAACAGGTGATAAAGTTGGTTGAATCAGAAGCCTTTAATTGCAGAGTGGGGGGATTGTTTTGCCGGTGGCGATGGCAGCGAGAGTTCCTGAATGGAAGGAGATGGTGATGTGAATTAACAATTTTGCCCATAGAAATATGCCATGTGCCTTGCATGTGAATTTTTTTAATTGTTATTGATTAGATTAGATTAGATTAGATTGATACAAAATCCCTAATTTAGGGTTAAAATCAAGTTAGATTGAATTAGTAGGGCTTAAAATAACACCAAAAACAAAATATAGAGACGATTAGTTTAATTTGCCATATACAATAACATCTATATAGTTAATACGTCACAGTGCCTTTCTCCAATTTTATCACATTCTTTATGCTATGCTGTGTTTGGTTAGAGGGTTTAGGAAGAGATTTGAAAAAAATATAAAGAAAAGGGAGATGAAATGTGAATAAAATATGTTTATATTTTATTTAGTTTTACACATTTTTTGTTCTTTTTCTTATCACATTTTTCAACTAAAAATAGAGTTGGTTTTTCAAGTTAAATTTACTCTTAAATTTTAATAGTAAATAACAAGTTTTTTTATTATTTTTTTACTTTTTAATGTTAATTTTACATGGTAAGTATATAAAATCAAAATTGAGAAGACGTTTCCTTTGAGAAATAAAAATATAGAGAATTTTTCAATACTTCATTTTTATTTTTTTATAATAAAAAAAAAGTACAACGTGATTGAGTGCAATTAATTTAATCTATTTTTATAGAGACTATTGCAAAGAATAATGTGATAATGGTATTTATATAATTAATAATAATTGAAATTGATATTTTATTTTAAAATGATAAATGTTGTTGCAACATCATTTGTAATACAAACTCTACATAAATTTTTTGATCGTGTATCGCATTTTGTTTGATTGAATATAGAAAGAAAATTTTATTTTTTATTTTTTATTTTTTATCCTTTGTTTGGTGATGAGATATAAAATTTAGGCCTCGTTGGGGAATCCTTTTTTTTAGTTAAAAAGTTATTAAATTAGCCAAAAAATCAACAATTCATACAAAAAAATCAAAGATTTTATTTTTTCTCTATTTTTTGCATATCTTTTCGTAAAAAGTCAAAAAGTCATTCCAAACATATTAGTTTTTTTTAGCTCATATTTTAACCAAATAGTTAAAAAATTACTAAATTAGCCTGTTTCCAAACGAGACCTTAGTGTGTATATATATATATATCTCCCAAAAATACAATTATCACATCTCAAATATGAGTCATCTTTTATTCAATTCAGGTCTCATTTGGTAACTTTTAATTTTAGTCAAAAAGTTATTATAAGTTGTCATATCACTCTTTTTACTTTTCTGTATATTTTTTCATAAAAAATCAAAAAATTACTAAAATAATATGTTACCAAACGTGGTTTCAATAATAAAAAAATAATCAAACATAATAAAACTGGCCTTATATAAAAAAAAACAATCTCATATCATAAACATAGATTATATTAATATTATGTTCCATAACTGTTACATATTTTTCTCACCATTTTATATTTAATAATTAATCCTTATATATAATTTTTGATGAGTTTTAGGTGGAGATGATCATTTTAATTTGATTCACAGGGCGCGTTCATATTTTTTGGAATGAGGCAAATTTTATTAAACTCGACACTGATGTGGGGCGGAAGTGAATTATATTTTGATTACTTGCAACGGGGTGAAGTAGGGGCGAGTATCGTCTCATCCTATCTAAATCTGACCCAATATAATTAATAATATATATAAATAAATAATATATATTGTATACATATATATATATATATATATATATATATATATATATAGGGGTGTTTTGGGAAGGGAAAAAAAGTTAGGTTGCGTTTGGTAGAGATTTTGTATTTTGAGTTTATGAGTTTTGGAATTATGATTTGAGTGTGAAAAATTTGTTTGGTGAAAGAGTTTTGAATTGAGTGAGAAATTTTTGATGTAACATTTGATATTTGATACAAAAACTTACAACTCATAACCAAACATACAACTCGAAATTCTATTAAAGCACATAAATTTTTTAAAAAAATTCGAAAAATATTTTTTTTGAATATATAAAAATTAACATATCAATTGCAAAAAAAAATATAAATAAATAAAAAATTGCACTATTTCGGTCAACTGGCCGGACGACCGGTTAGACCAAATTACTTCTCACATTTTTTATTTATAAAAATACAAAATAGACTAAAAAAATTAAAAAGTTAATTTTTTTACTAACTTTTTAAAACACGACAATATATAATTAGATATAAGAAAGAATACTAAAAATGTGCAATTTTGTTTAAATATAAATAAATAATAAATTTAAAAGTCTTATTATTTATATATATATATATATATATATGAGGATAAGAGAAATTATTTAATATATTAAAATTTTAAATGAATTTTAACTTTTTTTTAATTATTTAAAATGTGGACATAAATAAGATTAAAAAATTTGACCCATAATAGAGTTGGGACAAGAACAGGGCGAGAGATGGCAAACCCGCCCCACACTCGCCGGTTGTCATCCTAGGTTTAGGAGAGATGTAACGACACCGTTTCATCATTGTATATTGGTGAGATCTATAAAAGACAAAGCTCGTCTCTCTTCCTTCTTTCTTGCACTACTGTTAGAGAGAGAGAGAGAGAGAGAGAGAGAGAAGAGATCGGTTTGGCACTGGGAATCAACAATGTTCTACAGAGGGTAATATATATATATATATATATACACATACATGTCTGTATTTATTGTTTACAAACATTCTTCTTAGGAAGAATAATAAATCTATGATTACGTATGAGATCCCCAGAAAGCCAAAATTTGATTTATCTGTTGTTTCTTTTTAGTTCTTTGAGGGTTTATGTTTTTCAGATATGTAGGTTGAAACTGGAAGTGTTTTGGCATAATCTTTGCATAGGTTGCGTAGTTTGTGTGTGTGTTGAGTTTAATGGTTTTTGAGTGGGCCTAGTATTGATGGGTCTGATATGAGTTGGGCGCGGTTAAATTTTTAGGGTTTTTTTTAACCTTTGCATAGGTTGTTTAGTTTTGTGATTGTTGTGTTAAAGGTTGTTGAGTGATGGGTCTGATACGGGTTGGGCACGGTTTAACCTTGGGGTTTTTTTTTTTTTGAATTTTTTATTATAGTTTTTATGGTGAACTGTGAATTATGAATTTAATTGAGATACCCAGAAGCCATTCTTTTGTTTCTTTGCGTTAATTCTTTCCTGTGTTTTATATTTTTTGATTTGAAGTTGTATGAGAAGAAGGTAAATCAAGAATTTTTTTTCTTTAATTGGATTTTGGGGGTTTGTGTTTATGGTTTGATGTGGGTTTGAAACGAAGTAGATCATTTAAACTCTTACATGAACAATTTTGAGTTCAATTAAGATAGAATCTCTCTCTCTCTCTCTCTGTTCTTTTGTTTTCTTTCCAGTGATGCATGTTCTTTAGATTTGAAAATGTGCTAGGCAGATGAAAATGAAATATTTGAGTCTGAAATAAGTTATTTGTGCTCCCATTCATGGACTACAACTTATGAATTAAAGTGAAATACTAAGAAGCCATATTCCTTACTTTCAGAGTTACGCCTTATTCTCAATTACATATTCAAGAAAAGATAATTTAAATTAGAATAATGTAGATTTTGGGAGGCAGTACTGACACGTGATTGTATGTGTGTGTTTCTTTTTGGATTTATTGGTATAAAGTAGATATGGAGATGTTGGTGATGGGCGTGAAATGGGTTCGAAACGACAGCGTGTGATTGATCAGAGTTCTTCATTTTATGGGACTTCTCCTGGTTCAAGTTTTATGTACAATCCTCCTCCTTACTCCTATATTGGCCAGCCACCTCCTTTTCCTGTTGTCCGACTGCGTGGACTTCCATTTGATTGCTCAGAAACGGATATTGCAGAGTTCTTCCAAGGTTTTGACATAGTTGATGTTCTTTTCGTCCACAAGAATGGTAAATTCACTGGGGAAGCTTACTGTGTTTTGTCATACCCTCTTCAAGTTGATTTTGCTCTTCAGAGGAATAGGCAGAACATTGGCAGGAGATATGTTGAGGTTTTTAGAAGCACAAGACAGGAATACTACAAGGCCATAGCAAATGAAGTTTCAGATTCTCGTGGTGGTTCACCTCACCGAAGTGCGCCGAGAGCAAAATCGTCTGATGATGCAAAAGAATCTGCTGAACACACAGGGGTATTGCGGTTGAGGGGATTGCCATTCTCAGCTGGCAAGGATGATATTAGTGATTTCTTTAAGGATTATGTTCTTTCAGAAGACTCAATTCAGATTGCAGCTAATTCAGAAGGAAGGGCAACTGGGGAAGCTTTTGTGGAATTTGCAAGTGCGGAAGATTCAAAAGCTGCAATGGCAAAGGATAGGATGACACTTGGGAATCGATATATAGAGCTTTTCCCTTCTTCGCATGAGGAGTTGGATGCAGCAGCTTCAAGGGGCAGGTGACTATTTTTTTTTTTTAATTAACTTTGTTTTTTCTTTCTTTTTCTGTTTTGTTCTAGTTATTATCTCTAGTGCTACAATGATGCTTGGATTGTGCTTTAGTAGTTTTATTAAAGTAATATATCTACAGTTTTAAGAGCTGGTTCTAAAGTATCATATGGTATCCTAAATGTCACGGCCTTGCTTTTTCTCTAGCACACCGTGCGACACTTAGTCACTCCCGAGCTTGGCTAGTAGTGCTAAGTCAGCCTAACTCACAACTTGTAGGAAAGAGAAGTAAGAGGAACACGAGAGAGTTTGAGAGAATGCCTTGTATTTAGCTCTTGGGAGAATTTGTACAACTCTTAGATGGATTGGAGCAAATGAGCTCCTCTCCTATTTATAGGCTCCCTAGGAGCATTTTAGAACTCTCAAGAAAATGTCATGTAGAAGCTTCCTATGGAAGCCTTCTTTACAAATTACAAGAATGTTCTAGAATGCCTTCTAGAACAATCTATACAAATATCTAATTATATGTATAAGTGTATAGTTTCTTGATTTTCCTAGATCTTTCTAGAATTCTCCATAATTTTCTAAAGTTTGCTAGGGAGTTCTAGATTCTCCCATTACATTATAGAATTATGTACCCTACTCCCATATTTTCTCAAGTCTTCTAGAAGCTTCCAGAATATTCTATTAGCCTTCCTTCCTTGAGACTTCCTGTTGGTAGGCAATTTTGTCTAGGGAATTTGGCGAGACGTGACATTCTCCCCCACTCATGCTCACGACGTCGCGCCTTCTTACTCGAAATAGTAGGTTTTCTCCTTGACTTGTGCCTTTTTAGATTTGCCTTGTCCACTTGCCCTATTGATGACTTAACAACTGTGCATGTCGGTGGACAATCTTCTATAGAGCCAGTCATCTTCTTGGCAATGCCTACTACCTCTTTCTTGTTCGTCCTCGACTTAATATACATAGCTAACAGAAGTTTAAGACCTTGGTGTTCACTGTCTTCATCAATCCTTGACCCTTGTCAAGTTTAAGACCAAGCCTCTTGGCCTGCCTTGATGAAGTTGTGCAATGCGCTTGTGTCTACCATGACTTGGGCTGCCTTCCTGTTGATCTTGGCATCTACGTACAATAAACCCTTATCCCATTGAGTCAATGTAGTAGGCTTCGATTCAATGGCACCAAGCAGCTGCAGAGATCCTATCTGCGGAGTCTCTACCTTTTGCTGTTCTTCAATCGTAGCATTGAGGGCTTGTCTCTTGGGACACTCTCTTGCCCAATGTGGCCCATCACATAGGAAACACTTAGTCTTGGGTTTGAATGTTTCCATGTTCTCTCTGACTTTGCCTTTGCCCTCTTTGCCAGTGGGAGGTTTGCTATGCCTTTCTTTGCGTCGGATGCCTTCATCCTCATCCTCCTCACTTTCACTAGAATTTGTTCTAGGGTCACCCTTGGATGTCTTGGCCTTGCAATCTCCACGTTTGTACTCAATAAACGATTCTGCCACTGTAATGGCCGAGGCAAGATCTTACACTCCACGTCAACGCAATTCTTGCTCCGCCCATGGTTGTAGGTTGTCCAAGAAATTGAAGAGTAGTTCTTCATCAGTCATACTCGGGACTTCAAGCATAATAGTAGAGAATTCTTTTACATAGTCCCGATTAGACTTTGTGTGTTTAAGATTTTTCATGCTCTTCCTTACTTGGTAGGCCACATCCTCGGAATAAAATTGCTTTTTAATTCTCTTTTGAAATAATCCCAAGTTGCTATGGTGCACGTACCTCTCTCAACGTCAGCATGCCTCCTTTGCCACCATAGCGTTGCTGTGTCGGTGAGGTAAAAGACTACAGTCCGTACCTTGGCATCTTCTTCAATTACCCGCATTGCTTCGAAATACCTCTCCATGTGCCGCAAGTAGTTGTCTACCTCCTTGGCATCCCTCTTTCCATCAAAGGGTTTTGGCTTTGGTATCTCTACCTTGGACGTCCTCGGCAAGGTCACAGCTTGCACATTGCCACGTCTTGGTGCACCTCCTCTAAGTGGGCTTCAAACTGTGCGAGCATCTCCAACACCTTGACTTGGAAGGAATCATTGGCCACTTGAGCATCATGTGCCACCGAATTCATGGTGGAAAGCACGCCATCATGGAGTTCCTTGATCTCCCTCTTGAGACGCTCCACCTCCTGTTCAAGGCTTTGCTCCAACACATGAAAATGCTCCCCCGAGCCGCCCATGGCAAGCTCCACCTTGGCAAGCCGTGCTTCTATGGTGGTAACAGCATCTCGTGACTTATCCTTCCTTCCTTTCGTGGGTTCCATTCCACGGGCTTGCTCAATCATAGTCTCCTCCACACCGGATGACATTGTTGCCTTTTCTTCTCGTCTCAAACCTGCTCTGATACCACGTGTCACGGCCTTGCTTATTCTCTAGCACACCGTGCGGCACTTAGTCACTTCCCGAGCTTGGCTAGTAGTGCTAAGTCAGCCTAACTCACAACTTGTAAGAAAGAGAAGTAAGAGGAACACAAGAGAGTTTGAGAGAATGCCTTGTATTTAGCTCTTGGGAGAATTTGTACGGCTCTTAGATGGATTGGAGCAAATGAGCTCCTCTCCTATTTATAGGCTCCCTAGGAGCATTCTAGAACTCTCAAGAAAATGTCATGTAGAAGCTTCCCATGGAAGCCTTCTTTACAAACTACAATAATGTTCTAGAATGCCTTATAGAACTATCTATACAAATATCTAATTATATGTACAAATGTATAGTTTCTTGATTTTCCTAGATCTTTCTAGAATTCTCCATAGTCTTCTAAAGTTTGCTAGGGAGTTCTAGATTCTTCCATTACATTATAGAATTATGTACCCTACTCCTATATTTTCTCAAGTCTTCCAGGAGCTTCCAAAATTTTCTATTAGCCTCATTTCCTTGAGACTTCCTCTTGGTAAGCAATTATGTTTAGGGAATTTGGCGGGACGTGACATGAAGCCCCTTATTAACATATTGAAGATGTATGAGTTGTGATTACTATATGTGATTACTATCAAAGATTAAGAATGGGATTTGCTACAGAATATGAATTTCTGGACTATCCATCAACTCAAAATCTTATGTTTGAGGTGCACTCCTAAAGATTTAGTTGGGTCCAAATTTTGGAATTTAGTTAAGTAAAAAGTTGTATATCTAATTTTAAGGGCTCCGCCACCGCTACAATTGCTTCCATCTCCAACATTACCTTACCACTGCCAGCATTACTTTGAAAATTTATGGCTCTGTTTGGTAGAGTTTTTGAAGTTTAATTCTGCCTTTTAGTTTGAGTGTGTTATTTGGTTACAACTTTAGAAAATTAATTCCACATCCACTTTTCAAAACACCTACTTTTCAATATTATATGTCACATCACTCAATTCAAACTCATTTTAAAACTTATAACCAAACAAATTTCCCACACTCAAATCCTAATTCCAAAACTAACAAACTCAAAATATAATTGTATTCTCAAATCATAATTCTAAAGCTCTACCAAACGCAATCTATGTTCTTTTGCTTGTACATTGCATTTGTTTCCTTCTTCTCCATCACCATTACTACCACCAAATTTGTCAGCACATTCCTTGTCATGCCATCATTTTTAGCATCTTATTGCTATACATAGCTGAAAGATAACAACTTCAATATAGTTGCACATTTAAATATTGATTGCTCCTAAGAAATTCATAACAGATATATAAGGTGGAGGTGGTTCCCTCCTCCAGTGATAAGATGGTGGAGTTCTTTGGCAAATGTCTGGTGAGTCGACTGGGAAAGCATAGAGAAAATTTCATGTTGGATGTTGAAGCTATGAAAAGGTTAGTGGAGGTTGGAGTTTACAATTAGAAGGGGTTTTCTACCTCTTTTCTTTTTGCCAAAGGTGGAGGTTTAGCACATTCAGGGAAAGGAATGAACCTTTGGGGGACGACCATTATTGCTTGATTGGCGGTCTTTGATGGGGGGTTGCTATTGACCACGGATTTTTTTTGGGTGCAAGCCATGTCTTTGTCGATTCATCCTTGGGAAGACAAGGTTTTCCATTCTATTGGTGATCTTTATGGTGGATTTGCTAGGAGCCACTTCAGATGGGCTCGGATCAAGATGGTAGGAGATGGAAGAGGATTCCAGCTGTGTTTAAGGTGGGATGGGGTGGCCTGAGTTACGTCATTCCTTTGTGGGCGGAGTTGGATGTTGAGTGGATTGTAGGAGTGCACAAAGAAAGGAGGTGAAGCTGTTTGCATTAAATTTCCACCAGATGGGATACAGAGTGGCCGGATTGTTAGGATGTTCCATTGAGCCTTTGCCCTTTTAAGTATTTACATCTATGGTTGGTAGTTGTGGCTGAAAAAATTGGTAAAAACAGAAAAATGGCTTTTTTCTGAAGTTTACAACAGTGAATAGAAGGGATAAAACTTTGGACACTTACCAGTAACAGTGGATGGTTGTGTTCCCTTTGTGTTGTACAATTGAATAATAAAAATGCAGAAGGGTCAAGGCTTATAGAATTTTATGGGTAGGGAAGAGTGATGAAACAAATCTGATTATGGACTTTCAAAGACTAAAAAAGTGCATAAAATTAAAAAAGTAATAGAGTAGAAGGAGATTAAATATACTGGGCATCACACCTAGACTTCAGGGCATCACATTTGGGGTTAGAATTACATCATATGACCTTTGAGAAATGAGTATACTTAAATGAATGTTGTTTCTTGGATGAGCTAATCACCGAGTGCCTAACATAGTTTTGGATTATGATAAGGGTTGAGCTTGACTTGATAACTCTGATTTGTATGGAATGTACTTGTGTAATTTGTGTATTTCATGCAAATTAGGAGTGAAACTTTTGATGTAATTTTGGCATTGTAAGGGTGGAGAGACATAAGTTTCCCTTGAGGAATTGACTCTTAGTTGACAAGACCCGTGTCTCCATTGGAAGTAATTTTTGCTGGGCCTTTATATTTTTTTTAAAGGTTCATTAGGGTTCTTATTGGTTGGAACTTCTAGTCATCTTGTTGGAAATTCATTTTTTCCCCCACAAGGGCTCATTATGTCTATTTCTATGGGATTGCGGGTATTAAATCTTACTTTACATAATATAGACTTTATTTATCAGATTGAACGTTTCGAGTAAGCCAAAATCTTTTGACGAGGGGAAGGACGCAGATGAATGGACGGGGGTGTTGCGAATGAGGGGATTGCCATTTTCAGCCAGCAAGGATGACATTCTGGATTTCTTCAAAGATTTCATGCTGTTAGAAGATGCAATTCACTTGATCTCTAATCCAGAGGGAAGGCCAACTGGTGAAGCATTTGTGGATTTCGCTAGCGCAGAAGCTTCAAAAGCAGCTATGGCTAAGGACAGGAAAACGCTTGGGAGTCGTTACATAGAGCTGTTCCCATCATCTGCCGAGGAGTTGAACGAAGCGGTTTCAAGGGGACGGTGACTTCATGTTTTTACCCGTCTACTTTGATATTCTCTGTACTGATGATATTGCATATTATGGATTGTAATGTTTAGCATGTTGCTTTTGTATTTTACTTGAGCTATGAAGATGTGAATGTTTCTTTTGTTGTCTCAACAGCAAAACAAAGTTGGGAATATTAATAAGCTCTCTGTATTTTCTTAAGACTATAATATCAATCTTTGTTCATGTTTTAACTTGAGCTATGTATTTGTCTCATGTTTATTTTGTCCCTCTGTTTTTGGTGCCACTACCTCTGTATGCTACCTCTCTATAAGCTAAGCATCTCACACACATTTTTTTGTCAAATCTTATTTATGAATCCCTTTTCCTTTTTGATTAGATTATTTTTCTTGGTCATTTATTGTTTTTGTTTATTGAGATATATTATTTTTGGGGCCTTTTGAGAGAGAGAGAACCCCATTGCTACAAACCATACCACCGCAAACTGCCCCTTGCCCCTAACCGCCCTCTACAAACCCCCTTGCTAATCTCTCTCGTGATCTTGGGCCTCTTCTTTCTATCGTTAATCCTAATCACCATTAGCTAGCCATGTCTATCCCTAACCCTAATCACCGTCAGCAAGCCATGTCGGGGAAGGGAGGGTCCACGATGGTGAGGAGAGTGGGGAGGTTACAGGGAGTGATGAAGCTGTGGTGGTTGGCTAGGTTAGGGTTTTAAAAGTTGGAAAAGACGAGGGTATTTTGGTAAAATTTAAGATTTAATTGTGTGAATTGAGAAGAAAATATTAAAAAGAATTAATTTTAGTGTGATATGAACTTGAAAAATGTGTAATATGCAAATTAAAACTCTCATAATATTTATCATCTCAGTGTGATTTCTATCAGTTTTCCCTCACTTCTTTTGCACCAAAAAGGAAAAAATAATTGGGAAATCTCAAATAAGTGAGAAAGTGGAAGAATATTTTTATTTTCATGAGGAGCAAGTCTTCTCTGTGTATGATATTTTTTTTTTTAATGCTAGATCTGCACCAAGAAAATTAAATTTATAATGCAATTTCATTATCTTACTATCAACTAATCAATCAAATTAAACCTTAAATCTTATTAAATGGAATCGGTTATTTAAATTTTTTTATTTCACTCGACTTTATTAAAAGCTATTTGATTGGTTTTATTGAAATGTAATTACTCAAAATTAATATCTTGTCCTATATAAAATTTAAAATTCAAAAAAAAAAAAAAAAAAAACCTGAACCATTGGATTTGGAGCACACAAAACAAGGTTTATGGTATCTAACAAAAAAAAACAGGTAAAAGTATTTCAGTGATTTCAGTGAGTCGCACGTGTGCAGGTATACTACTATACTATACTATACTATTGAAGATTCTCTTGGTTGGAGGTATCCTAAGTAGATATTTTGAAAACAAAATTAATTGCTAAACCAATAACTAACTAATTAATTAAATAAATGGCCTCAATTAGGGCTGACAATAAATCTTAATTTGCAAATACTTTTCAATTGAAAATGAATTTGTTCACACATTAAAACATTAATGAATGTGAATAATACATACTATTTTATAGAAATGTGCCTTATTCATAAATGTTTAGGATACCAAATAACAAAACAAAATGAAGAAGAACACAAGATGTATTTTGTTCAATTCGAAATATTCTCATTGAATTTAATATATTTTTTGCTAAAGTCAAAACACCTTGTAAATTTTTATTTATTTTCAATATACTTTTCACTTTAATATTAAAAAAGCCTAATTTTAGAAATCATAGTTACAAGGTTGTATGATCACTCAACATGTAAATAGTAAATCATCAAAACACATGGACAAATATTTTAAGGGGGATTTGGTGATAGCCCCCTCACTATCTAATTTGTCTTTCAAAAGGACAAGAATTATATAAGTACTTTCAAAACCTCCTAATATTTTAAAACTTGTTTCTTTTACCATATTACCCTCATAAAATTTTACTTTGTATGAAAGTAAAATTTTACTCTGTATGAAAGTAAAACCATATTTAAAACCATATTGAACCATAAAATCATACCATTTTCTAGTTATTCTGGATTGCTGAGCAGAATCATATTTAGCACGATAAGCATGTCTTTTAGATCTATTTTCTCTGGATCTAAAATCAATAAGTAAAGTATCTAGATCAGGAGTAAAATCCTTCTTGATTGTCATTAGTTGCGGATTTACCAGAGGTATAAATTTTTTACACTCTGAAACTAAAAATAAAATTTTACTCTGTATAAAAGTAAAATTTTACTCTAAAAAACGAGTAAACTGTGAGACTTTGAAGCTAAAAGTAAAATTTTACTCTGTATGAAAGTAAAATTTTACACTCTAAAACTAAGAGTAAAATTTTACTCTGTATAAAAGTAAAATTTTACTCTAAAAAACGAGTAAACTGTGAGACTTTGAAGCTAAAAGTAAAATTTTACTCTGTATAAAAGTAAAATTTTACTCTGAAAAACTAGTAAAATGTTAGACTCTACACAAAAGTAAAATTTTACTCTGTATAAAAGTAAAATTTTATTCTTGTTCTGTCAAATGAAAAAATAGAGCAATAGAACCAGAGTAAAATTTTACTCTGGTTCTATCAAATGAAATTTGATAAAAAAACAACAAAAATAAATCAAAAACAAAACAAACAAAAACAAAACAAATTAATCAACAAATCAACATATCTAATTGAGAAGAAAAACTTTTAAAACTCGATCAACAATCATAAATCTCAATGAAAAGAATACATATGTTCAACAACACTCATACACACAAATATATATATATATACATATATTCTCAAAATCTTGAATGAGGAATGTAACGGCTGCGAGATCTTCAGATTTGGAGATCGTCTTCATCGATTTTGTTAAGTATGATAGATTTGGAGATCGTCTTCATCGTCTTCATCGGCTACGAGCTCAGATTTCAAATTTTTCATACGTATGACACTATATATATAAAGGCAATATTGTGATAAGAAAAATAGAAATTATAAAATGTCCTTATTAAAGTAAGCATTTCTTACTCAGGGACTTTTTGAAAGAAAATTAATTGGATTATCCTTTACCCTAATAAAAAGGCCCAAAAGGGGGGGTTCCACCAAAAATCCCATATTTTAATTCATATTCCAGACACTAGGTAGGATTCGGCTAAATTCAAAAAATTCATCCTATCAATCTTTACCAGTGTACGAAATGACTAATCAATCTTAATTGTTTAGGATGTAAGTTGATTTTTTAATTTTTTTAATTTGAAATTAAAAAGCAATCTCATTTAGATAGATTTTTTAATTTTTTTTATGTTTGTGAAAAAAAAATAACATAATTATACATAATATGTAACATTTTATTGTATTTTTATCTTATAGGACTATTTTATGTTAAAATAATATATACTAAACAATACCTTGTTACATTTATCTTGTATTATTTTGCACAAACCTCAATAAAGGTCCACCTAATTTACCCAAAAACATAAAACAGTGTACAATTTTGAATTCACTCTGTTTATGACTGCATAATTTAAGGTTCTAAACCGACCCCAGCGGGCAGCGGGCAGACTGCCCGAATCATTACCTGTCGATATAAACCCTAAAGAATCACAAAGGTCTCTCTGACCTCTCCTCTTCCTTCTATCTCTCTCTAGGGTTTGATCAGGCTTTTTTACACCCAATAGTAAAGTGGGTTTGATTCTAGTACGTTACTTAGCTTTGATCCCTTGGTTTTTAGTGAGAAACTTGATATTGTTGTGTGTTTGTTGTTTTTGCACTCTAGGGCTTTGGTGGGTTTGTTAGATTTTGCTGTCTATTTACCTTAATCTTGAAAAAGCTTTGGTTTTTGTTGGGTTTTGTGTGTAATTTAGCAGATAAACTATGTATGATCTCACATAGGTGTCCATAGATTTGTGTGTTTCGATCTCTTCTTGAGAAATTTGAGTTGGGTTTTCAGGATTCAACAGTGAAATCTTTAGGGTTTATTTGATTATTTTAGCAGAAGTATATATGTAGTACTTGTTCTGATTGAAAAAGGGTTGTTTCCATAGAGGTTGTTGTAGTCACTTGGCTTTTATCACTTTTCTCAGTCAATTTTAGTTTGTGTTTTAGTGTTCCTTTTGATAAATTCAGTAAAGGTTTTTCAGTTGAGTTTCTGATCTTTGAGTTTTAGAAATAGTATTGAGAGACGAATCAGTATCGAGATAGGAATCAGTAATATTGACTGATATTTAAAACCCAAGCATTGTAAGTTCCCTTGAGCTAAATTTTAGCATAAAGTTCTAGCATTCTCTCTCCAATGGCTCCATCTGGTAGAAGATCAACAAGAAGAATAACAAGAAAACCTAGAGGAAGCCAGTACAAGAAGCTGCTTGACCGGTCCCAAAATGAAGAAGCTTCTGTGGATTTGGCTGCTAAGTCCTCCTCCACCACCACCACCACCACCACCGATGGTGGTGTTGATGTCACCACCAGTGGCTGCTCCACTCCTAAAGGCCAGCGATTTCAGATACCGGAGATTTCAACATGTCCTCCGGCACCAAAGAAGCAAAGAGTTCTTTCAAATTGTTCATTGAGAAGAACCCCCATAGCCTTCTTTGCTCCTCCAGATTTAGAGCTCTTCTTTTTCTTTGCTTTGCGCGATGTTCCGGTGTGATCACTTGTCTGTTGATTAGCTTTTTAGGATATGATCATCTTTTTAATTGCTTCTTTTCTTTTTATAAAAGTTTTTCAATTTGATCACAGAGACATAGAGTTTGAGAATTTGTGGTTGTGAGTGATAAAAAACAGCTCTCAATTAATATACATTAATGTGTGGTTGTGTGTGATATTAGAAGCAATTGTTAGCTTTGTTTTCATGTGAATAGCTTTGGTTGAGTGTAGGTTATACCAATGAGCCAAATATAGCTTTTAGTTTTTTGTTTTATTAATTTTCAATGTATTTATGACTTGTGGAGTGTTGTGAGGTTGTTTTTGTGTGTGATTTTATAGCTTACTAGTTGTTGTTTGTTAAGTCAACTTGAGAAAGTAGAGAATATGACTTCTTTTTGTGTGTAAACAAGTGCATCTTCAAGACCCAAAAAGAAAACAAGTGTTCTTCTCTTCTCTACCTCTGATAGTCGAATATATATGATTGTGTACTTGTTTGAAGTTTTATACTCAAATATGTTTCATCTTGGACACCACTATTGGCTCAGATCTTCTGTTTTTCTGTTCTTTTTATGCCACTCTCAATCCTAGAGATATCAAATGTTTTTTTCTACATAAGATTAAAACTTACCAATGGGCCACTTTTTTTGATGTGGGTATCTCCAAAATCCCACTGATCAAGATAGGGAAGTACTACTGATTGTCCAAATAAATTAAGTGAACTCTTTTGATGATTGCAATTGTAAAAAGACCCATGAGGTCCCCCACACCAACACTGATGTGAAGCAATGTCATGTTTACAGAGATGCTTTAGTCTATAAGAGGCTTCCACACACACACACACACACACACACACACACAAAGTAAAAAAAAACTTCCCATATTCAATTCTACTTTTGAAATTGGAGTTAGAAGAGAACATTTTAGGGTTAAGTAACACCAAGTGGATTTCAATCTGCAAGCTCAGAGTAATTATTCATAGCAATGTTGCCACACACTGCATCCACAATGATGTATGGAGGATGTATTGTGCGGCAATTGTACTGAATAATTTTTCCTGTTGCATAATTGTACTGATCAAAAGTGAAAACTAGAAGGCATCTTTTGATTGAGTGGAAACTATAAAACAATTAAGTATTTTGTAGTGTTATATATCAATTATTTGTAATCAATCATCCATTTTAAATAAAATGGTACTTTTTTTTTGAACTAGAAATAAAATGATACTTGAAAATATTTGTTTTTTTCTTTTTCCTTTACATTTTGGAAGAGATAAATCCGAATGCATAGAATTCAAAATATTTTATTTTGACTATAAATATAAATTGGGATTTAAAACTCTTATTTATATATATGTCACTTATTAGGAATTTACTTGTTCTTATCGCTTTAACTATTTTTAAGATTAAAAATATGTCATATATATTAAAAATAATAAAACTATGAGGGGGCAATAATCTTCCTGTTTCGAAAGGTGTTGTTTTTAATGTGATGAGGTGGATGATAGTGTCAGATTGGGTTGAGGGGGGTGGTGTCGTTGTGTCTGGGTGTGTCTGAGTTGAGCCCAGCACAACTATGGAATCCTATGAAAAGGCTCGTGCGGGTTGTAATCATTTGTCACATTTAGAGAATCTCAAGACAATTTTCTTTTATTTTCGATTAATTTTTGACAATCCAATCTCAGGTTTTGACATTGTTACTGTAACTCAAAATAGAGTAAATTTCTGGAATTGGATTATTTCAAGTTGACTTTTGAGCTTGATGAATTCATTTTTGAGTCGATTTTAGTGATCTGAATTATTCATTTTTTAGAACTTATTAAGTAAAATATTCATGCGAAAAATTAAGATGATCAGATATCGATAGTTATATGTTTGAATTATATTTAATTTAAAAAATAGACGATAATTATAACTTCAAGTAGCTATTCATTTTTTGTAATATAAATATGATTCAAACATATAACTACCGATATCCGATCATCTTAATTTTTTTGCATAAATATCTTACTCAACGAGTACTAAAATGTGAATGATTTAAATTGTAGAGATTTGTTCCGAAATAGACCTATTAAATCTAAACGCTCTCGCAAACATAAATGATCAGTTTGAGATAATCCAAATATTAAGGGGTAGTTTGGGATGATCTAAATAAATATACTATTTGACTTTTTATGAAATATGGGTTGGATATGAATTGGGTTTGAAGTGATGTGATAGAGAGGTAATGTGACTTAAATAAGATGATGTGGCTTAAAGATGATAGTAACTTTTTGACTTTTTAATTTTTTAAATTATGACAAATAAGACCTAAATAAACTTATTTATCTAGAAAAATGATCCTCCAAAGTTATTCAAATTATGATTGTAGTGTAGGATAGAGATTGAAGTGGTGGTGTGTAAGTATGGATTAAATAAATTTAATAATTTTGAGTAGGATTTGAACAACATTTAACATTTAACATTTTTTTAACTTGAAAATCAGAAAGATCAAAGGAAACAAAACTGTGCCTCCACACGTGGGAGAGTGGAGAGAGAGAGAGAGAGAGGAATTCTTGGAATGAGGATTGATTAGTGTTGTTGTTTAATTAATTAATTAATTTTGATAAAGAAGCTGCATATGGATTGATGTCTTTTTACTAAAGTTTGAGAGAGTTACTTTTTTAATTCCAATGATGCTAACTTATCCAAAGCAGAGACTTTTTTACTTTGATTTTATTACTAAAATTTTTACTATCTGTTTACCAACCAACATTGCCATAACTTTTCTAGAATCCGAGGTTGCCTCTCAAAGGAGAGAGAGAGAGAGAGAGAGGGGTATAAATGCGCTTCCTTAGCTTTTGGGTCACACGACCACCTACATTAGTTGCGGTGTGTGAAGTGGTGGGGTAAAATTGAAAAATATTTGGTCAAAATAAATAGTTTATTTAAAAGTTTTATATGATTATATATACTAACTAATTGTTTGGTTAAACAATTGGTAACTAAATCCGTATTATTTGCCGGAAAAATATTTTTGATAAAATTAATTTAATATTAATAAATAGTAAAATAAAACATAAGAAATTTTTTACAGAAATTTTGTAAATTTAATACAGATTTGTGATCGAGGTCAGTGTTCGAATACTATGTTTTTAAGACAAAATTTTGCCTTCGCCCTCGTCTCTGATGTTTGCGATTAATGGACGTTCTACCTTCATGATACAATGATCACCCCACATAAAAATTATACAACTTTCTATGTGTACAGCGAACCAATTTATGCCATGCACTCTTTCTTATATACTCAACTAGACATAATGTATGAATCCTAAAACAAATCTTAACTCATTTATGATTGCCATGAGATAGTATTTGTGACCTGTAGGATGGTCATGTCTCTTGGATTCACACCCTTTCATATAAAGAGACACCATGAAAGGTTATACCTTTTCATTCAAATGGAGTTCAATTCCATTCACTTTTAAAAAATTTCAACAATCCCCCACATGAATGAAATTGACGACACAATGCAAATGAAATGTAGACATTAACAAAGAGAGTACAAAATGAAAATATCCTGCATCAAGATAGGTAGTTTTTGATTTTGAACCTTCCTTAGTGAAAGACTATTGAACTTACTAGCTAATCAATAGATGTGATGCATTGAACTGTTCAATCATTTGTGTAAGCCAAGACAATATAATTCACACAAAATATTTCCGAACACATCTTGATTCTTTTGGTTGTGCTCGTTTAGCCTTGGCCAATTCCTGATTTTCGTGAGTGTTTTAGAGAATTCAACTTTATTAATTCTCATAGAAGTGGCCAATTCACACTCATATAGGTGATTCTTATTTCGAGTCTCTTAAAAAAATCCTCTTGAAAGATACTCCTCTAGGTTTTCCAAGATGTAAGTAATCATTAAAAGCATAACTTACCCTAAGTCCCCTGCATACAACACTTGTTATAAATATCACTCTCATCATAAGAATGGATAAGAGATAGACTCCTTTAGTGATTTCTAGTGAGTCATCTATAATTCGGTTGTCCCTTTGAACCTAAATCTTGGGATCACCAGTCAATTACTTGAAATTAATAGGCTTTAATCACATTCCCCTCGATGAACTCTCTCTCATCTGCTCTTTGGTCAATCTTTTTGTTTAGCGGCCGCTATTTTTCCGTTTGGCCTTCTCAATTATATATCATTGAGTAGTTAGTGAATCCACTATATTATCCTTAAACAATGTTCACAACTGAGAGCAAATGTCCTATGGTATTAAGTCTTTGATTATATCGAGACTTACAGTTATTCTATGTCACTCTCATTATTGAATTCAAATTATAGACATAGAGATGTTTCTTAGAAGTTTAATGAAGCCATTTTACTTCTACTATTTCGCCCTAATCAAAGAAATAAGATTCTTTGTGGACCTCCTATCAGGAACCGTTACTTCCTTCCAAGCACCCCCAAATTTAAGTATTTTAAAAAAAATTAATTTCCTATTATACCCCCACAATTCTGATGTAAATCATAATATAACATCTATCACTTGTTGACTATGGCATGCTTGAGTAACAAAATTCTAAATCACATTTATGAAATAGAAAACCCAGAACAATTATGATTACATAAATCATATTCTCATAAAGATTTTGCTCAAAAATCAAACAATTCAAAATCTCATTTGATTGTATAAATTCTTACAAAGCAATCAAGAAAAAATATTTGTACCGCCAAATTAAAATTTAAACTCTTAATTTTGAGTACTTTTTATTCAAGTTTTTGTGACTAACTTGTTATAAATCATGATTAGCATAAATCATGATTACTAGACAATTTTACTTCTCTCCCTCACATTTGTAATAATACATAAATTATCACAAAAAATATGACTCATTTTCGAACAAATGTCATTGTCATAAAAATATTTGTAGCAAAAGAAAATTGAATTATCTCTTCTAATTCAAGAGATAAACTCTCATATTAATATTATGGTTCATGGTTAAAAAAATTCTACTGCACAAATAAAATAATGATTGATGACAATTTATGTCACAAAACTAAAAATTAAAATAACTTTCAATTGATTATTAACAAAATAATAATTAACACAAAAGATTCCTTAATCT